TGTGTGATATGAGTAAAGGCCACTAACTAATTCTTTATATATTTTATATAGGATGTTGAGAAGAGGAGAAATTTTTTTAGAAGTGGAAAGAAGTAAATGTTTGGATTTGGGAGTATAATAGGTAAGTTGATAGCGTCTCAACTGATATTCTAATAAAATTTTCTTTACTAAAATGTTATATTTTTATACAATTTTTTTTTACAATAACAATATGATTATTAGATATTTTGTTGATTAAAATACTTTATTTTGTGAAGTTATCTTTATCAAATTTAAGAATTTTAGTTTATTAGTAAATATAAGTTTGGATTCTAATTATGGGATTTTATTCTGAAAATTATTGAATTGCTATGAAAAACAATTCATGCAAGTTTGACATTGAAAATGAAAATATTTTTTAATAGTGATTATTTTCTCACATGTTTGAAATTGAATTGAAAATGACTTTATACAGAACAATGGTTGTTAACAGTAGTTTCGTTAGCCATTAGCACGCCATGGTTAATGACTAGCTAATTTGATTTTCGTGAGCTTTGTTCTTACGTTTATTATTCGTGGGTTTCATACCTGTATTTGTTTTGTGGCTTTGAGCCGTGTTTGGTTAGCATTACCCTTATGGACTATGTATTCACGTTTGTTTCGTGGCTTCGATTACATTTGGTTAGTTATCCTCATGAACTGTGTGTCCATGTTTGTTTTTGTGACATAAGCTGCATTTAGTTATTTACCCTAATCGACTGTGTGTCCACGTTTGTTAATTATTCTGATGAGTCCCAATAATTATGAATCCAATCATTTAATGATTTTATATTTCATTAGTTTTTATTTAATAATTTATTTATAAATATTTATTTCATTTATGTACTTTCTCGAAATCAAGTGATATTATCATTTGCTATGATAGTTTAATGATTTGAAATTTTATTTAAAATTTTATAAAGTCATATTATTATGAAGTTTATTAAATTTTTACAAAAATTGTTGTCTATTTAACTACATAACTATTTTAAATTTTTTATTTTATTTATGTTTTATTGTTTATTGTTAGGATGTTATTCACTGAAAAATTATTTTTAATCTCAAATACCTTAGTTAATGTTGATCTTCCTGTCGACCCTTGAGTGCTTATAGACAGGTGGATGATTGATTGAAATTTTTCTTTTGATGTAATTATAAATGTTTATGTATCTTATTTTTATTTTATTTTTGAAAAGTATGGCTAGGTGCTCCACATAAGTTATAATTAAGATTTTTATTTTTATATATATGCTATCTGTTGGCTGGAAGGAACTAAGCTCCTGATTTATTTAATATTTTAACTGCATCAATGTATTGTAGAAATTTTAAAAAATCTCTTTATAAAGGAGGTTCTGTTGAAATTTATACAAACATATTGAAACTCTGTTATAGTTATTAGTGTCAAAAGTGTTATAATTTTAATATAAATTTGATTTCATTTTACAAATAAAATGAATTTACAATTTAAAGTTTACAAGGATGTGTGGAATGGTTCATATCCCGTGCCAATCGCTCTTCAATTTTTGGGCATGACATGTTATAATTTCATTGAAGTCCCTAAAGACTTCTATATTAATAAATTTTAAATTAAAAATATCATTTTACCTTTATTGATAAGCTATTATTTCTTGTTCAATTCTTTCAATTTTTTAATAAAATTTATTATTTTTTAAATAAAAATTGTGATTGCTGTTTGTTATTTTGAGTACTTTATTTTTCAGTAATAGAAATTACACTTGACAAGTTATGATTTCTTTTCAAATCTTGCGACTCACAGAACAAAAATTATTATTCTTTAAGCAAAAATTGTGATCGGGCCTTATTTTTTAATAATAGAAATTATACTTAACAAGTTATGATTTATTGTTCAATTCTTGTGATTCAGAAAATAAAAGTTATTATTCTTTAAATAAAGGCTGTGATTGAATCTTGTTATTTTTAATAAAGGAAAATAATTTTTTTACTTTAAAACTTATAGACATAGAAGTCTCTAAAAACTTTAATAGAATTATTACATTTCAATTGATCAAATTGTTATTTATATAATTCAAGTAGACTTTATTATATTTTTTCAATAAAAAATGTATTTAGATTTAAATCCATAATTTTTGTATATTCAAATGAGACAAATTCAAATGCAAATGATCCAAATTTTCATTAATTCAAACACAGATAACTGAGTGAATCTCCTCTTTAATTTGTTCCACCTTCTCAATCCCTTAAAATTTTCGAAAACTTCCAATGAAGTTTTACAAGGAGATTGTTTACTATTACTGAGAGAGTGCTCGCAATTAAGATAAAGCTGGATCGATTAACTCAGAGAGTGTCTTTAAAAAAAAAAAAAAATCAGAGAGTGCTTAATGCCGACGTGGAAGCCAATAAGTTGCGCGATTGGCAGAAGTCAATTCAATCTAGAAGATAAATGATTTGAATTAATTTTAAAAGGTAACCTATGGAAATAGACCTTGACCAAACAATAAACTAAGTTTGTCACTTAGAAAAAATATGTGCAACCCAGACGTAGATTGACTAATTTTTTTTTTTTGGCCAAAATAGATTGACAAAAGATGAATAAAAACACTACTGATATATAATTAAAAAAAATATAATTTTAAATCCTTACATTTTTTTTTAATTTTAATATATCCTTGCACATTTTTTTATATTTTAAGTTTTTATATTTTAAACTATTAAATTAAGTTTTCCACTTAGAGAGAGGATCGACTATCGTTATTCGCAAATCAGCAAATGACAGCTAAACAGCTTAAAATATTGTATGCCCATTTTAAAAGTTATTTTCTTTATTTTATTGACAAAACTGGTCTAGCCGGTTAATTAAGTATACTTTTCTTGACCATAAAGTCAAAGGAACAAAACTAGCTCAGCGCAGCCTCCGAAGGAACTTTAATTGTTGATAAGTAATAGCCATAAATTTTAGGAGCTAAAAAAGAAACATAAATTTCCATATCATCTTTTAAAATTATTACCGCAAATTCTCATAAGAGTTTCACATGAATGTTAATATATAATTCCCACCAAATTGGACTTCCTATAATAATTCATGCATGGCGGCTACGTTAATCTCTCCCTCCCTCTCTAGAATAGGAGGATATGATGCTTATCTCACGCGAATTAAGTTATTTGTAACAATATTTATCAAAAAGGTATTTGTAATAGTATAATTATGTATCTAGTCATAAGAAAGTAATTATATTAGAGAGGGTAGCAGTGTAAAAGGCTCGTTTATTTTTTCATCTTAGAAAAGACTATCGTTTTTTGCTTTGAAATATTACAATTATCATTAATAGTAAAAACTAATTTTTCTTAAGATATTGAAAACAAAAGTTTGATCCATAAAAAAAGGTTATAAATCAAACCGCAATACTAGTTATAAGTTAATGTACAGTAAACCTTATTCTATCACTCGAGATGAGATACCTCTTTAGACCACATTATAGAGTATTTTCTAGAAGCTCTACTTGATTCGAACTTTAAAATAGAGGACATTGGAAAACTTTTATAATTATTTTTTTAACTATACTCTTTCTTCATTTATTATTTTTTTTTGAAAAAAACTAATACATTAGAATTTTAATTATCATTATCAAAGCACTTATATAAGACATTTTATGAGGGTAAAATTGAAAATATGTAACATTTTTTTTAAAAATTAAGGTTTTAACTAATATTTTTTCGTAATTGTGAATTAGTTTCTAATGCCGTATATTGTGTCCAAAAGGAGTACATGATTCATATGACATCAATGTGTTCTATCAACGGCTAAATTTTTGTGCATACTATAATACTACTTAATGCACAAACTTACTAAATTCTTTTTGTTCAACAAACTTTCTAAATCTAATCATATAATTAATGTTTGTAAAATTATATTTTTGTTAAGCTTTATTAAAAAAATACAATAATGAAATTTTAGTTAAAAATTAAATCAATATATTATAATGAAACAATATCTATTTTTTTATATAAGAAAAATTTAGATAAGTTGGGTCACGAAAGCTCACCAAGTCAAGATATGTCTCTAGACTCAAAGAGTATTTATAAAGATATTTACAAATTGTCCACTAAAATAGTATTTATATTGGCAATGGAATTTAATCTGCACTATATTGTGAGTTATGAGTTGTGGATAACAAATATTGTTTTGAAAAATAGAAAAATAAAATTTTTTTTAGATGTTTTAGAATTATTGTTTTGGATAATAATAGAGGATATTAAAAACAAAATATGTTCTATAAAATATTATTTCTCAAAATAATAGAACAAAAACAACTTCAAATAAGCACAAAGTGGTTTATGTCAATATATCACGGTCTTGGCACCACAAATATAATAGAGAACAGAATAAGGATGTAAAAAGGTGATGAGTCAAGACTTACACCTAAGAAAAGTTTCTGTTTTTCTATTTTTCAAAATAATATTTAATTTTTTTATTTTTCAAATATTATTTTATATCATTAGCAACAAGATTTTTGATAATGACCATTTGATAGCAAAAAGTTATAACTAAAAACCTTTAATGATGATTTTTAGACTTTTGAAAGCGGCAAAGAGTTATCATTAAAATTTATTTTTTAATTAGTACATTAGGTTACTTTCTCTTAAAAGAAACAATAATGATGTTATACCTACATATATAAATCTAGTAATAAACGTTTCCACGATCATTTCTTGGTTCAAGCAAATTAAATTTTCCTTTTATCTTTGCTTAACAAAACGTAGATAGGGGAATTCAAGCCACGTCGATAGATTGCACGATAAACAAATGATTTGGAAAACCATAAATCTCTCTATAGTTAAAATATTTGTGTACTAATACGGCCCGTTTCTTCATATAATTAATTTATGGCATTAGTCAAAACGGGGCAAGAATTTGGACATGACAGTGTTTAATTTATTCGGGGCGACATGCTTTTCCACTTCCATTATTGTCCTTATAAATGGCATATCAATTCAACATCGTCATAGCCAAGTACGGTGGAAGAGGATTGTTACAGCAGTAGTAACATACCAAGAAGAAGAAGCAAATTAAGCATTAATGGCTTCTCAATCCGCCTTGTATCTCCATCACTACTCTCAGTCTCTCTCTTCTTTTTCTTCTTCCTCATCCCACCGTGTCTCGTTCTCTTCCTCCATTAATCCCCTCCCCTTCCATCTTCCTTCTTACACCACCTTTCCTGGTACATGATCTCTTCATTGTCTTTATGATTATATCTATATACATACATTTAGCGTTCTGATCTGTATAAGGCTGTCGTGATAACATGTATATTGCTTGTGTTATTCTATATATATAGGGATTTCGCCGTTGAAGGCTAAAGTCATCGTTTCGCAGAAAAACTCTGACTTGAGAGCCAAAAGCACCGGCAGCATATCAGAGCCCAAAACTTCACCGGAAGTAATTCCACGGCTGGATGGCTTGACACTCCCGAAATTTGATTGGCATAATGGGATTGATGATGAGGTTAGCCAAGAAGATGAAGAATCTTTGGAGGTACGTACGTATGCGTATGTTGGAGTGTTTTAGGGCTGTGCTATGAAGAGAGTGGAAGCGGTTTTAAACACTTGGAGAGTTTCTTGACGTATTCGATAATCTGAATGACATGATTTGGAAATTAGGGCTGTGCTATGAAGAGAGTGGAAGCGGTGAGAAGGAGGCTGGAGTCAGATGAAGGAGAGCAGAGCATATCGCCATCAGCTTATCACACAGCACTGATGGCTCTGGTGGAAGATGTGAATGGTAGTGGGGCCCCCCAGTTCCCAGAATCGCTTCAATGGATAATAGACAATCAGCTTCCAGACGGATCTTGGGGAGATGCTGACATATTTGTGGCTTATGATAGGCTTCTGTGTACCTTAGCTTCCGTCATTGCCTTGACACACTACAACGTTCATCCTGACAAGTCCCACAAAGGTAAGCTTTTCTTATATTAATTGTGTCCCTTGGTTGAGTTGTCACATCTCCAAACATATATGGACCGTTGACTCGCAGAATTTCTTTGACGTAGAGGTTATCAAACCAGCCCAATCAAATTTGACTCAGAAGTAAATATATAGATTTTTTTTTTTTTTGGGTTTTCTGGAATACACCATCCAGTCTAATTAACACACACACACACACACACACACACACACGCTCCGCTTTTGTAAAATCTGAAAGTTTTTTTTTTATTCTTAATATTCCCTACATCTCAAATTATAAGACACTTTTAGATTAAATATCACATACCAATAAACCTTATTGAATACATTTAACAATCTTGTATTTTTAAAATAAAAATATAAAATTTTAAAAATACCCATCATTTAATATATTGAAAAGAGAAGGAACAAGAATTAATTATAAAGAGAAGTGGTAATATTGGAGTTGATGTATTTAATGAAATCTTAATTTACTCAAAGTATCTTATATTTTGGGACGAAAAAATTCTTTCAAAAGTGTTCTATAATTTGGGACAGAGGGAGTATAAAGTAAAACTAGAATAGTTAATTTTGTTTTCTAATTTTATCCTTATTTATTATGGTTTAAATTCCAAGACAACAATTTATTATTGTTATTAATTGCGTGCGTATAAAGTCTATAGAGAAAATTTATCTAAATCTGGTATACCTATTTAAAATAAATATAATGTTTTATATTTTTTTTGTTTTTACAATTGCAGATTGTAGAAATAAAATCAATTTCTTAATTTATACTCTTTAAAATAATAAATTTTAACTTAAAATTAAAAAATAAATTTAAATCGTCCAAGTTAAATATGGATGATTAGTTCAGATCTCATCTTAAAACATATAATCCCCATCTTTGACATGAACATGAATGCGCCAAGCTACTAGTGGCATGCTCTGTTTTATATTAAAATTTGTGTTTGAATATTCTGCAAAATTAAATTTCCACCTGTGTGTGATTATTGCAATTTCAACATGATGCACGTTAAGTGATAATAGTATGTGTATCTTGGTTGCTTACATATAAAGTCTATAGAGAACTTTATTTAAATCTGGTATACTTATTTTAAATAAATATAGGACTAAAGTTCTTCAAAGAGAATGTAAACACACTGGAAAATGAGAATAGAGAGCACATGACATGCGGGTTTGAAGTGATTCTGCCGACACTTCTTCAATCGGCAAAAAGTTTGGACATCGATTTGCCTGATGACTTCCCTGCCCTTAAAGAAATATTTGCAAGGAGAGACGCCAAGCTCAGAAGGTACATACTTATTAGTTTGTCTAATTAACTTTTTTTAATAGAAAAACAATACTTTTGGTCTTTGTATTTTGCTTGAATTTTGGTATTAGTCCTTGCATTTTTTTTTTCAATATTTCAAGTCTCTACACTTTTTTCTATTTGCAACGTTGGTTCTTACATTTTTCATAGAGATTTTAACGTGGTACAAATGATGTTAATAATGTTGGCATATCAATTAACACTATTAATTTTATGCTTACATATTAAATGGATTTTGGCATGGATCTTTTTAATAAGAAAAATTAAAAAACCCTACATCAAATGTAATAAAAAAGGATGATATGGACTTTTAAATGATTCGCAATATGAACAAATTAAAAGACTTGGGGTCATGGGGTTGTGGTGCTGATCGTTTAAGTTGTGAGGGTCCAAGTTAGCCTTTTTTTCATTTGATTTAGGCTTTTGTTAATTTTTACTCATTAAACAAATACATGTCAACATTAGTTTAACACATAAGCACAAAATTAACAGTGTTAATTAACATGTCAATATTATTAATACTGTTTGTGCCATATCAACATTGTTTTGAAAATGTAGCAATTAACATTGTAAACGGGAAAAAGTATAAGAACCTGAAAAAAAGTATAGAAACCTATACCAAAACTTGGACAAAGTGTGAGGACCAAAAGTAATGTTTTTCCTTTTTAATTATTAATTTAATCTCTAAATTTTGACTTGAGATATGGTTCATTCACTATAGTTTTCTTGATTTAAAATAAGCTAGTCCTTACAATTTTTTGACTTGAAAAAAAAATCTATTATATGATTTATCACAGACCATGCTGAATTTCTCATAATTGATTTTTTTTTTTTTTGACTTGTTTTATGGTGAGAATAGGATACCGATGGAAGTGTTGCACAGTGTGCCAACGTCATTGCTATTCAGCTTGGAAGCAATACCAGGACTTCAATGGGAAAAGCTTCAGAGAGTGAGAAGCAAAGATGGCTCTTACCTGTTCTGTCCCTCTTCCACTGCTTTTGCTTTCACCCAAAGCAAAGACCCACATTGCCTCAATTACTTAAACAGTGTGGCTCACAACTTCAACGGTGGAGGTACGTCTATATATATATATATATATATCAACCTAGCTAGTTTACAAATAAATAAATAAAGTCCTTTTGGTGATTATGAGTATGCAAATTTCCAAAATGGCTTGCAGTCCCGGATTTCTACCCTATAGAATTTTTCGAACAACTATGGATTGTTGATCGATTGGAGCGTCTGGGAATTGCAAGATATTTTCAACCAAAGATTAAAGACATCCTGGATTATGTTCACAGGTATAACTGTCTCTTCTTTCATGTCAAAAAAAGAATGATAGAATTTACATCAATATATACTAACAATAACACATTTTCAGAAATTGGAATGAGAGAGGCATTGGATGGACCAAAGATTCAGAGTTGCCAGATCTTGATGATACATCCATGGGATTCAGACTACTAAGATTAAACGGCTATGATGTTTCTGCTAGTAAGTACAAGACCATGCGTGTGTTACTACTGATTTATGGCAATAAATATCTTTTATCAAACTATGACACATATTAAAGAAAAAATGCTAAGAGATGAAAATGGTGTCATATTGGACAGATGTGTTTAAAACATTTGAGAAAGATGGAGAGTTCTGCTGCTTGCCCGGGCAAACAGATGAAGGAGCAACAGTGATGTTTAATTTTTACAGAGCAACTCAAGTTCAATTCCCAGGAGAGACTATTCTTGATGAAGGCAACAACTTTGCCACCAATTTCTTATCTGAAAAACGAGCTGCCAATCAGATTCTTGATAAATGGATCATAGCCAAAGATCTACCTGGCGAGGTATATATTATGCTTTCTTTCTAATAGTTATTACCTTCATGTATTAGTATATGAAGAATTGAATTATGTTCTTGAACCAATAACAGGTGAGTTATGCATTGGATTTTCCTTGGTATGCAAGCTTGCCCCGAGTAGAGACTAGATTTTACTTGGATCATTACGGTGGTAGAGATGATGTCTGGATTTCTAAAACCCTCTACAGGTAACTTAAGTCTCAATCTAAGGCTGATATAGATTCATTTAGATGTAATAAACCTTTTTCCGCACTAATATAATTGGAACATTTTGAGGTTAAAAGATGGTTTTTCATCTTTTCGCAGGCTACACAAGGTCAGCAATAACGATAACCTTGAACTTGGGAAATTAGACTACAACAAGTGCCAAGCTTTGCATCGCGTAGAATGGAAAAGAATTCGAGAGTAAGAAAATCCTAAACCTCTTTCTTTCTTTCTTTCTCTCTGTTTTTTTTTCCCCAGGCTGCCGGAAATATTAATAAGTTGTGGTGATTTTTTTACGCAGGTGGTACTCAGAATGTGAACTAGAGAGGTTCGGATTGAGTAAAGAAAGGCTTCTTGTGGCTTACTTTTTGGCTGCAGCCAACATTTTTGAGCCTGAGAGATCTCAAGAACGACTTGCTTGGGTCAAAACCTCTACATTAATTCACACTCTTAAATCCACATATCGTGACCAACACCAAAGAAAAGCCTTTGTGCATGAATTCAATAACACCAGTAACTCCTTAAATGAACGGTAACTACACTTCTATCTGCTCATGTATAAATGGTTACTTTAGGAAAAATGTTGATTATTCTATGCATTATTGAAGATGGCTGAACAAAAACAGAAGCAGCGAGGGGCTTTTGGGGACTTTACTAGAAACTTTGCATTCCTTCTCTCTGAGCTTACCTTCTGCTAGTTTGATATTCTTCATGATGCTGTAAGTCCGTCTAGTCACAGAACTATTATTTATCAACTTTTGGTGATAAAAGAAAATGCAACTGAGTAATTTCATTTGGAATAATGAAGTTGATCTATGAATGCATGCAGTGGAGAAAGTGGCTATTGGGATGGCAAAGCGAAGGAGATAAGTGGGAAGGAGAAGCTGAGCTGTTGGTGAACATGATTAACATTAATGGTGGCTATCAACTTTCTGATGACTTACAGCTTAATCCCCAGTACCAGAGACTGGTCCAAGTCTCTAATCTACTCTGCCATCAATTAGATTCTCTCCAAAGCACCAAGGTGAACACATAATTACCACATCATTAAAAAAAGTTAATATAATATATGCATGACATATACAATTCCCTTATTTATCTGGTTTGAAAAAATTATATCAGGGAAACAATAATAATGGAAGGTACAAGGCCAGCCCAGAAATAGGGGAGAAAATGCGAGAGCTGGTGCAATTGGTGCTGACTTCTAATGGCATGGATCTCAACATGAAGAAGACATTCCTTACAGTGACAAAAAGCTTTTACTATGCAGCTTACACTGATCCACACACTGTCAAGTCTCACATTGAAAAAGTCCTCTTTCAGAGAGTCATGTAATATATCTGTAGACGTCGCATGTTCTCTTATGAGAAACGCACAATAATCAATGTACTATGGCTTGTAATTTATTCGAGACGCAGCAAGCTTTTTAATTTCCGTGTCTAGAGCCCGGATGATCGGGTGAGAATGACAGTAAGATTCTTGGAGAGCGAAGTAATGAATTGATGATGCATTCCTACTCACTATTTAATTTCTTTAAAATAGGTTATAAACATAAATTTGAACAACTATAGTTCAGGAATTTTAATTATAAATAAAGGATGGAATTTTAAATGTCATTTTATATTTATAACAGTTTGAATGAATATATGCAATAATTTTTTTAATTTTTTTTTAAAAAACAAATGAAGTTTAGAGAAAAAGCTTGAACTTATGATGAAATGAATATTTTCAGATGTTCAAGGCTTGAACTTCGGTAGACTTGAGTGAGATACTGAAAGTCGCGATGGTTAGACTCGAACATGTGAGGAAAAGGTTTAATAAACTCAAGTTGTAACATGAACTCAAAACTCGTGATGGTATGAACCAAAACATGTGAGAATGAGTAATCCAAAATCATGCTTCACACTGTCACACTAAAACTTGCATGTTTCATCATTGAAACTAGTGTGTTTTGAGTGCACAGAATCAAGCTCCTCTCAGCTGCCATATTAAAACATGCTTGTCTCATTCTTGAAACTCACATGTTTGAATAGGCCAGAGATACACTAAAAAAGAAAACTTTTAGCAATGACCTTCAACAATAACTCTAAAAAGTCACTGCTAAAAGTGAACAATATGCAGCAACCATAAAAGTCATAATTAAAAGTTTGTCTTGTTGTGACTATAATTAAAGTCACTATTGAAGGTGTGACTTTTAGTGGTGATAATATAAAGTTGACATTAATTATCAAACTTTCAATGGTGACAAGTGTATGTCATAGTTGAAAGTCTAAGATTCAGCAACAACATAGTTCATAATCAGCGATGACTTTTTAGAGTTACTGTAAAAAATAATGAATTCATTCAAAAACCTGTTGTTTGATATTTTAACTTGAAATGCAAATAATGTGGTAATGAGTCTTTATTTTCAAATTTTTTATGATTAAATTAATATTTCAAATAATAACACCACTTGTTTATAATAATATGCGGCGACCATAAAAGTCACAACTCAAAGTTTGACCTAATATGGCTGCAATTAAAATCACCACTGAAGGTGTGACTTTCAATGGCAATAATATAAAGTCATTGTTAATTATCAAACTTTCAATGGCAACAAGTGTATGTCACCATTGAAAGGCTAAGATTTAGCGACGACATAGTTCACAATCAACAATGACTTTGCAGAGTTATTGTCAAAAGTGTGACTTTTGATGTTGACTTTGACTATTGCTATTGATAGTTGGACTTTCGTGACAATTAATAGTAACTATATATTATCATTATAATTTTTTATTTTTTGTTTAATCCAATATTTAACATTGTAAGACATTATTTTGTTATATTACTATAATTTTTTGATGAATAAATAAAATAATGTAATGAGTTTTCATTTAATATATTTTATAGTTAAATTGATACATTTTGAGATAAGGTTAAGGTATTATTTAATGTTCATGAGCCAGATTAAAAAATCAAGCCAAATTGTATTTTTTCATGTCCATTGTTTTTATCAAGTAATATTCAATTTGATTCGGTTTAACTATTTAAGCTAGTTTGATTCATTAGTTTTGGTCAATTAATATCAAATCTAATTGAATTGATCAATTCACACCCTTATATAAAGTAATGAATTCATTTAAAAAACATGTTATTTTAATATTTTAATTTGGAATGCATATAATATGGTAATGAGTCTCTGTTTTCAAATGTTTTATGATTAAATTGATATTTTAAATAATAACACTAATAATTAGACATGTGATAGTTGAATTTATTCATCCATAGAATGATATGTCAATTAATCCAATTTTTTAATTTAAATTCTACATTTAATATTGGAAATTTTAACGCTTGATGCTAGTTTTGAGATTCCCAATTCGATGGCTAATGATAGGAAAGAGGAAGATGAAAAAAAGAGAAATGAAATATTCTAAAATTATACTTTTAATTTTTAGAATATATAAAATATATCTATGTATGTGATGCTATTGTATGTAATGCTATATTATCTAAGAGTTATTGTTAATTAGAAGTAAAAATAAAATTTTAATTAAAACTAGTTAGAAAAATAAATAATTATGATCTAATGTATAATAATCTATATTTTTATTACTTATTCTTAGATTTTTTTTCTATTATAATTAGGGTTAATAACTATCCTAGACCCTAAATTATTATGCAAATAGTATCCTAGACCTTGAACTCATTAAATGTGTGAAAACTTCCATCAACTTCTAAATTCTAAGTGCTTAAAACCTAATCATTAAGTTGGAGAAAATGGTCATTATTTTTGTAGTTATAAGGCCCAGTTGCATGTTGATGTAGCATTTATTTTGACCCTTAAAAATAACGACCATTTTCTCCAACTTAATGGTGATGTTTTAAATACTCAGAATTTATAAATCAAGGGAAGCTTTTGCACATTTCAAGAGTTCAGAGTCTAAGATGCTTGTAACACCCCAACATTTCTTTAAGGGTCAAATTAATTAATTACATGATTTGATTAATTGATTGGGATAATTTAAGACTTAATGTTTTAGTTTGGATGGCCATTTAAGCTTATTAGACTTAGAATGAGGCTCAATAGGGTTTTGGGCCAAGTTGAGCCTAGATTTTTTGGGCTTAAGTGAAGTTGCCCATTCTAAGCTCTTTGCTGAGGCGAGCATGATGCAATCTTAAATCATACTTCTGTCATGTGATTTGACAAATTTAAAGAATTTGAGTAAGATTTTGAGGGTTTTGGACAATACTCTTCTAAGGTTCCTACTTGGAGGCGTTTTGGAGTGGTTTGAAGCCTCTAAATCATTAGGTAAGCCCTAAATACTCCTTCTCCACCTTCTTTTATTTGTTTTTTCTTTGTGTTTTAGTACTATGGTAATGATAATTTGAAACTATAAATAAGCTACATTAATTCTTGACTTAAATGAAGTCTATAGATCTTAATAAATGCTTTTAACATTAAGTTTGGGCAGTTGGTAGCATAAAATGGCATTAATAAGGGTTTTAGAGTAAATCTTAACCTTAAATAATTAAGTTTAAGCCAATTATAGTTAATAACAGTGATTATTAGGCCTAATATGAGTTAAATAAAACAATGGGAATTAGTTTTAGGGTTATTTAAGCTTAATCATGATTAATCGAAGGTTCAGGCCTTAATCATGATTAAGAGTTAATTAACAACAATTAGTCATTAATGCTGTCTTGTGAACTTGGTCGTATACAGATTTTGCTCAGAGTGTACGTTCAGAATAGCTCTTTTAGAAAATTCAAATTTAACTTTTAGGGTAGTAACTTAAGAATAGAGGTAATTGAAAATCTTATTATTATATATCATTATGTTTACCATTGTGTTTAATTTGTTATGTAACTTGTAAAATCCTTATTTACTAACCACAATTAACATTCTAAATTCATGGTAATTAAGGGAATGACCCATATAGAGATTACCAAGTTTGCAATTTAAAATAATGGGATTCTAAGTTTTTATAATATAAAATAAGTCAAACCTATTCATTTAATGTAATAACCTAGGAATTTTAAGTAAAAAATTTAAAATATATAATAATGTGTTTTAATTGTATTTGAATTAATTTTTAAAAATATTTTATTAAAAAGGATTCTTGCTCTAATAAGAGTTGCACTAATAAGTTAAGTGCATCAGGTCATGTATTCAATTCTTGTTGGAGTAAAAGAGAGAGATATTTATTTTTGTGTTTAGTTTTGTCAAATTACCATTTTTGCCCTTAATACAATCAGAATATATTTGCATTCTCTACTTCTAGTGAATTCGAGCGAGGACTATTAGCTGAGAGAGGGAGAGATGTCTTAGATCCAGAACCTTCATTTTGTCTCCTCCTCATTTCTTCTCTGCCGTCGATTCATCGCTGGTAGGGAAGTGTAATAACCCATTAATTAAAAAATATATATATATATATATATATAAAATAAAAAAAATTACTTATTATGTAATATTGTGTTTTAATGGTAATTATATTAATTCATGGGACAAGTATGACAAGAAGTGAGGCTGGTATAATGGTAGCACTGCAAGTATACTCCTAATAGGTCTCAAGTTTAAATCTGATGAAGCCCAAAGGGAGATTTTTTTTTCTCTACTTTGTGAAATTACCGAATGGCCTTTCTTTAAATCTAAATATATTTCCTCCTTTTATTTGATTTTTCCAGAAGTGTGGTAGAGAGAGGAGCTCTGATTTCAGCCTTTCCTCTATTTTTCCTCTGCCCCTCCGTCTCACCCCTCCCATTTTCAGTGGTTGCCGGAGTAAGTGGAGACTATTCACCGGTGGTTGGAGAGTGCTTGGTGCTGTTGTAGAGTCACCTTCTTGTTTGCTGTTCTACTTCCTCCGTGCGTGTTTTTGTTGGTTGTGGAGTAGAATGATGTCGGTTCTGGTCTGGGGGGAGTTTTTAATTCTCCTCCCTGCTTCATCTTGGCTGGTCTGAGATCTGTGAAAGGAGAGAAGAGCTGATTCATCCATTTCTTCATCTCTCCCCTGCACTTCGTCTCTTCCCTCCCATTCTTGGTGGTCGCTGGCAGAAGGGGAGCCTTGTCGCAGCTGTGCAAAGCTCAAGAGCTACTGGTTTTGCCATCGCAAGCTTGATCCGCTGTTGTTGATTCAATTTGTTTTCTCTTTTGCAAGCTGCGTTCGGTTTTTCCTCTCCCCTGTGCAGCCATCTAAACCATCTCCTTTCTCCTTCTTTCTGCCATGGATTTAAGGTGAAGAACTTCATATTTCTCTCATTTTTCTTGTGCTGAATCTCTATACATGTTAGGAATGACAAGAATTTATGATTCCTCTTCCTTGGTCAGCTGTAAATTTGTCTTCTCTCTTTCTTCAGCTGGCAACGCCTCTTGTTCTCTTCATCCTCTGCAGTTATTAGTGATTAAGGTGAGAATTTTGAGCATTACTTCTTATAGCCTGTAAGAGAGAGAGAGAGTAAGTTGATGACTGAAATTATAGAAAATTTTATGCTCGTTTTGCTGCTGCTCGTACTGATAAAT